ATGAAAAGGAAAATGAAAGAGGAGAGAACTTGCACCAGAAGGAGTGGCACTGATAATAATTATTAGGATTATTGTTACTGTTAATATTGATAGCAAGCTCATTCTCCCAGTCACTTCCCTCCACCCTCCCAGCAAGTGACATGTGGGCCTCAGCCATGGAGGACGATGGGTGGCCACGAACAATGCAGCCACTGACGTGAACCCTGTTTTGAATGCGAAACTCTGCATTGTGAGTGCCAGCTTCAGTGCAATAAAGTGTTCCAGTGCTGGTGATGGATGAATAGAGACGTATGGTGTAAAATTAAATGTGTTATTCCCCCCCCCCTTCCTATTTTTTAATGCATTAAAAAGCACAACAACTTGGTTTCTCTTAATTTCATTCCTTTCTTAAGGGGTTTGCTACCAAACAAATGACTGGCCAGCTTTGTCTGGTAATGGATAGGAGAATTGATAGGGATTGAAAAGGTATGGAAGCAGAGAGGAAGAACTGTGGTTTCTGTTTCTTTTTGCTTGTAGAAGGAGGAAGAAATTCTGGAAATGAAAAGGAAAATTCTAGCACAGCACATACAGGATAACACAGAAAATTCCTTGTTTACCAGCAGAAAAAATCAGTTCCTGCAAGAGGATGGAATTAATTCCACACTGTCCTTTAAAATTCTAAGTTTAGGCACTTCATAGAGTCCTTGGTGAAAGGCAGGGTCCTCCAGGCAGTGATTCAGAGAAGGAACACAATGCGCATCGCAATACATAATTGGAGAGGGACCCTGGCACCACGATAGGATAATACAGCATCCAGCAGAGCTCTACTGAGCATAAGAATCATAGAATCATAGAATAGTTTGGGTTGGAAAGGACCTTAAGATCATCCAGTTTCAACCCCCCTGCCATGGGCAGGGACACCTCACACTAAACCATGACACCCAAGGCTCTGCCCAACCTGGCCTTGAGCACCACCAGGGATGGAGCATTCACCACTTCCCTGGGCAACCCATTCCAGTGCCTCAACACCCTAACAGTAAAGAATTTCTTCCTTATAAGTGGCTTATAAGCCACTAAAAGACAGCACAACTCAGCCGCACCATAAACTTTCCCAAACCCTGGGATCTCCCCCTTCTCACTCACCCACCAGGTTCATCTGGCTCACAGCTCAGGCTCATCTCCAAGAAGTGTCATGTCTTGACATAAGGCAGGTCTGAGTGAAACGCTCAGCCAGATGAGGTGTCAAAGGGATGTCAACCCTAAAAAAGCCCAATCCAAACCCGATCTAATCTGCTCTAAAGTACAGCAAAAGCCCACGTCCTGAATAGCTGCAAGGGGTAAATGCCACCTGGCTCTGGGTGCATCATGTCCTCTGCAAAGCACTGTTGTGACAGCACTGGGGAAGGTGCCAGTGCTGTCTACTACTGAGTGTCCCTTTCATCTGGTCCCTCTCCCCGCACAGGGGTTTTCTGCTTGCTGCCATACACTCCTTCTGTCTGCCTACAATTACTCAGTTGGCTTTTCTCTTTCTGTCTCCCCATTTTTGGGGGGTCTGATCCTAACCTGCTGTGGTTTAAATCTGTTCAGGAAGCACTAGGGAGACAGCTCACGTTGACGCTATCCCTGCTGGGCTACAAGATGTGGCTCTTGCTTTTTTCTCTCCTTTCCTTGCTCCTGCTTAGCTGTTTCAGAGGAAACTACACCTCCTCAATGATCACCCTTTTTCTTCCTCACTTCCCACCTCCCTTTCAGCTCTTCTTGCCACCCTCTTGAACCTCCTGTGGCCATCCAGAGGACCATATGCCTTGCAGTCTCCATCCATCCCCTTGCCAGCTGCCCCGAGGCCAGGCAGCTGATTTCAACAGAAGCCTATCTGCCTCTTTGTGAAGCCCTGGGGTAAAGCTGCTGTGGCTATGAAAGCCTTCCCCCCAGGCTGTCCCAGTCCATAGCTCTTATCCTTCCATGCCTGTCTATCTGTGCCCGGAAATTGTCTGTCTGCCTTAAATTACCTCTCCTTGTCAGTTCCCAGTGCTCTACATCTCTCTCCTTCCTTTGCTTCCTGCTCCCCTCTCTCCTCCTCCTCTACCCACGCTCTTTACTTTAATTAGAAATACAATGAAAATGCTTATCACTGTCTTAATCAGCAAGTCATTCCCCAGCAGGTCCAGAAGGAAAACCCCCGTTCCTCCTCGTTTCTCCCCCACCACCTCCACAGAAGAAGAGTGCACAGATTAAGGGGAGAGCCCTGTGGGATGGTTGTTGAATAAGATGAATTTAGAGACCTGGAAAGGGCCAGCAGAAACCTTATGGTATTCAAAAAGGACAAATTCTGTGCCTGGAAGTGTCTCTGGTGGGAACTAATTGGCATAAATAGACCTAGGGGTACTGGAGGACAGAAGGGTGAGTATGATCCAACAGTGTGTCCTGGCAGCAAAAATATATCCTGGACTGATTATGGGAGCATGAGAACAGCCAGGAGATCAATAGACATGATTATCCCCCTCTACTCAGGGCTGGCTTTAGCCCACTTAGTGCAACTTAGCGCAGGATATTGATCAACTGGAATGAGTTAAGCACAGGGCATTGAGATGATCAGGGCTAGAGCACTTGCCTGGTGCCTGGTGTAGGGTTAGGACTTGTTCAGACTGGAGAAGCAACAGCTTTGGGGTTCTAACAACAATACCCCATACCTGTGGGGAGGTTATCAAGGAGATAGAGCCAGGCTCTTCGTAGAGGTGGTTGGTGAGAGGACAAGGGACATTGGGTATAAATAGAAACAAGACAGTCTTGGTATAAGGAAAAAGGTTTTCCCTCTGAGAAGAGTTATGCAGTGGAGCAGGTTGTCCAAAGAGGGATGTGCAATACCCATCCGTGGGTTTTTCAATGTCTAAAACCTGAGCTACCTCATCTGACCCGGTAGCTGACTCACCTTAGAGTAGGAGGTTGAGCTAGAAATCTCCTGAGGTCCCTCGATAATCCTGGGATACTGTGCCAAGACCTAAGTGCCAAATGAGGCCATTCAGACTGATGATTCCCCCCCCAGTGAAAACTAAGAGAGTAAGAAAGAGATGGATTTAATGGGATTGGTTTTATAGCCAGTTCATCCCAGGCTGGTATTAGATGGAATGAGGTGATGTTGAAAAGAGGTCTCTTGCAAAGTTAAATCCAGTCTATAACCTGTCGCCACCCACTGGAAATCTCCTAAAGGCCATTTCTGGGTGAAAAGCTTTCTGAAGAATGTCTTAGCACTAATACAGACATACAGAAACTGCGCAGTCTCTTCTAATTCATGTGCTCTCTTACTGGCAGTGCAGGTTTAAGCTGGACTCTCAGAGGTGTAGAGACCACAGCGTAAAAGGCTACAGAGCTGTCCCAAACCCTTACTTGATTCCTATTTGACCCTTCCTTCAAACACAGATGCACTATACACTCGTGCTTAGGAAAGCTGCGTGAAAGCAGAGAAGTAAGCAGGACAGAGGACATTGCTCTCTGCTGGTCATATCCCTATCATGTTATGTATAGGGTCAAGTGGCACTGGGAGGGTTTACTGGATTAGGAATCCTGTGTTTACACTCTCAAGCTTCTGTCCCTCTCCTTACTCACCATCACTCCCCATCTACAACCAAACTACGCAGCCTTTCTATCTCAGCTTGCTGCTGCCCTAAATAACCCTCCTGTTTCCATACAGCAGCAGTGTTTGTCCATGTGCCACCACCTGGTAAGGAACAGCCACATCTTCCTGCAGCACATGGGTATGGAAGGGGGAAAGGGAGTTCTGACCCCTGTCCTTCATCCCCTTCATCTTAACCACCACCTGTTTGCTCCAAGGGGAATCTGCTTTAATGCCTGGGGCCACTCAGACCTCCTTTCAGCAGGACTTCGCTGAAAGACCACACATCTCCTCACTGCTAACAGGCTGGCTGCAATCCCACCAGGAAACACACGACCAGGAGCCGTGGGAGACCCATCCTAAGCCTCCCTGGCACAATGCCCGTCACCCCGAGCGGAGGCAAGGCGTTTCCAACTGGCTTGAAACCCCTTTTTAGGTAATATTCATGAATCGGCATCCCACTGCCCCCATCCACTGTTATTGGGAGAAGATGAGAAGCCCCAGATGTCCTCAGTACCTCTCCGAGGATGTTCCGGCAGGGAACTCTCTCAGATTAGGGAATCCTTTATCTCTGGCTTATATAAGACCCGGGGATTCCTTTTATGGTTGGCTTTTCCTGCTTTGTTAAGAGCGAAGAACAAATGTAGCTTCATCTGCGCTTGTGGGTTGGCTAACTGATTAAGCATCTGATTCAAGCTAAGTACGGAACAGGCTTTCGATGGGCGGATTTAATTTGGTGTAAAGAACCAGGATGCCATCCCCCTCCCTTAGTGAATATTCCCAAGATAGAGGTTGGCCGGGTGCAATGAGGCAGCGGGGATGACTCCCACCTACCAGTGCTGTAGAGAGTCCAGTTTGTACTGAAGTGGCTGGCTCCTGTGGGTGTTTCCCCCTCTCCTTCCCCCCCCCTCCCCTTTCTTTTCTTTGCCCTCCCTTTACTTCTTTATTTTCCCTCTTTTCCCTGCTGATTTGCCACCATTCCCAAAGCATTTGCATAAACAGTGAGCTCACTGTGTGGATGTAGATGTGTGCGGGGGCCCCGTGGGAGTCTGTCTTCGTGTGACACACTGAATCCCTCCTCATCTCCCCCTCTGCGAGTCCTGCCAGGGGAAGCATGCTAATGATGACCTTGCTGAGTAAATAGTTGTGGAATGAATAAGTGTGGTTTTTATCCCCCCCTCCCTCCTTTTCCCTTTTCCCTGCAATCTGAAAGGCGGAAGGTGCGATTACTCATCCATCTACCCAACTGTCTCCAGCACCTTTCAAGTGCTTCTCGCGTCGAGTCTGGGGGTGTGTGCGAGGGGGTGGGAAGCGAGGGGAGGCTGCCAAGATCTGGGTTGCCACAGACACCGGCCTCGCTTCTCCTCCAATGAACGCCGCGCTGAGAGTGCGAGAGGAGGCAGGGCACCACCCACATGTTGAGCTGTGTGGGGTATAAGTAGATGGAAGAGCCCGGACTAGTGGCAGTTCAGCCAGGGAAGAGAAGCAGCTCTTTGCATCTCTAGTGAAAGCATTTCTCGACTCACCCAAGTTTACCCGAGGAGAAAGCACCGGGATTTTTTTTGCAGCAGCAGCTTCCAGTGTGCATCTCTCTGTGTTTCTCTCCAGCAAGGACTCTGCGGACGTTCAACTCCGGACAAGCAGGTAGCAGGAGACATTCAGCCAACTCCTCTCTCCTTGTTCCTGGATCCTGTCTCTCTCTGGGACACCCTGAGCACGTGAGACCGGCGTTTCCAGCTGGAATTTGCCTACAACTCTGTGTGGGATCCCCGGGGACCGAACAGCTCGCTCTGCGGTGATATCTGATTTGGTTGTGTTTGTGTTGAAAAGTCCTTTGAGGGGGGTTTAGAAGTCTCTGTGTGTCTTTCAGGAAGTGCTGTGGTGGGGGTTTGTTGAGAGCCAGCTCTAGTGCCAGGGCTTTACAACACAGTTCTGTCTGTGTTTGACACTCGCACGGTCGGAGCCATGCAGCTGGACAATGTCACCAACGCTGGCATCCACTCCTTCCAGGGGCACCGTGGAGTTGCCAACAAGCCCAATGTGATCCTGCAGATAGGGAAGTGCAGGGCAGAAATGTTGGAGCACGTCAGGAGGACCCACCGGCACCTCCTGACTGAGGTCTCCAAGCAGGTGGAGCGCGAGCTGAAAGGCTTGCAGAAGTCAGTGGGGAAGTTAGAGAATAACTTAGAGGACCACGTCCCAACTGATAACCAAAGGTGGAAGAAGTCCATCAAGGCCTGCCTGGCCAGATGCCAGGAAACCATTGCCCATCTGGAGAGGTGGGTCAAGAGAGAGATGAATGTTTGGAAGGAGGTCTTTTTCCGTCTGGAGAAGTGGGCGGACCGACTGGAGTCCATGGGAGGCAAATATTGCCCAGGGGAGCATGGCAAGCAGACTGTGTCCGTTGGGGTGGGAGGCCCAGAGATAAGGCCGAGTGAGGGTGAGATTTATGACTATGCCCTTGATATGAGCCAAATGTATGCACTGACCCCTCCTCCTGGGGAAGTGCCCAGCATCCCCCAGGCCCATGATTCCTACCAGTGGGTCTCTGTGTCGGAGGATGCTCCAACCTCCCCAGTGGAGACTCAGGTCTTTGAGGATCCCCGGGAGTTCCTGAGCCACTTGGAGGAATACTTAAAGCAGGTGGGTGGAACAGAGGAGTACTGGCTGTCTCAGATCCAAAACCACATGAATGGCCCAGCCAAAAAGTGGTGGGAATACAAGCAGGACTCTGTCAAGAACTGGGTTGAGTTCAAGAAGGAGTTCCTGCAGTACAGTGAGGGGACTCTGACTAGGGATGCTATCAAAAGGGAGCTGGATTTGCCACAGAAAGAGGGAGAACCCCTGGATCAGTTCCTTTGGCGCAAGAGGGACTTGTACCAGACTCTCTATGTAGATGCAGATGAGGAGGAAATTATCCAGTATGTGGTAGGCACCCTCCAGCCCAAACTGAAGCGCTTCTTGAGTTACCCCTTGCCCAAGACCTTAGAGCAGCTGATCCAAAGAGGGAAGGAAGTCCAGGGCAACATGGACCATTCTGAGGAGCCCAGCCCACAGAGGACCCCTGAGATTCAACCAGGAGACTCTGTGGAGACTGCACCTCCTTCAACCACTGCCAGTCCCGTGCCGAGCAATGGGACTCAACCTGAGCCCCCTAGCCCACCAGCTACTGTCATATGAGCTAGTCCATGGGAGGCAGCGGTCTGGGTTATATGAAAGGGAGAAAGGGGCTTATTTAGGAAGCTTCTCCTTGGGGAGAGGTTCTGGCTGAGATGAGACATGAGGTGTGCTCAGTCCAACAGCCCATAGCAGAGCAATTAACTTTGCTTGTGGGGGGAGGGAGGTGATGGGGTACCTTAGGATGTGGTTGCCCACCTCACCTGAGCCATGCAGTACGGTGGTGCTGGAGATACTGCTTGCACCACTGTGGGGAACAGACAATTTTATGGGATCCCTGACAAGAAACTAGAGACAATTCCTAACTTCAGAAGCAGCTGCTTAGCACGGGCAGCTTGCAAGGACTTCATATGAGTGCAGCAATTGGCTGAGGGTTTCTACCCATATGGATCTTTCCTTCTCTCCTCCCTCTTCTGAAGAGGTGCCCTTGCCCTGAGGAAACATCTTTCTTTTGACCCCTGCCCTTTTCTGGTTTATCACTGGGCTTTTCTTTGCTTGGCAATCTCCTGCTTTTATTGCTCCAAAGGTTTAAATATGTTTTAAAGGTTTTCTTTAAAGGGATTCCTATGACTTCAGGAACTGAAAACTCTAAGGAACTGGATTATTTTTAGTGGTTTTTTTTTCATTTCACTGCACCTAATACCTGCTTTAATGTTTTTCCTCTCAAGAGGCTTTTACTGGTTTATTTCTTGCCTTAGTTTCGGCTCACTCTAATGAAGGCCACTGCAGTGCAGAGGAAAATCTCACCCTTTCTCTGCACATTATTCTGTGCATTCAGCAGGAAACAAGAGTTTCAGATTTAATTCTGAGGTCATTTATTAAAGGGGAAGTCTCTTCCCTTTCAGAGAAGAGAGGATGTTGAGGTGGACAGAGGAGGCACCAGAGCTATTTTAAGAGGGTGGGGGGGAAGAGAAGGGAAATAAATCCTTATACTTTGAATTAAAAAAACAAACACAACCTAAATCCAGAGCAAAATACCCCTAGAGCAGCAAATCAAATCCATGCTGATGTGTGGAGACAACAGCAGCTTTTGCCATGTAAAAGCAAAAAGAAGTGAAGAGAGGAGCTGTGTGTCCCAGCACAGTTTCAGCCTGTGCATCACAAGGAAGAGTTTGCTCACACAGACAGATACAAAATGCTCTTGGAAAGCCCAACACCCTTGTCCTGGAGCACCTGAGGACAGAGCCGTGTTTGCTCACAAAGAGCTTTCTACGGCATCTTCCTGTGGATGAAGATGGACTTGGACTCTGTGACATTTTCCATGTTGAGACAGTATTGCTCAACATTCCCCTTGCTTTGGCCAACACCTGATGATAGGACTTTGAGATGACACTTCTGTAAGGCATATTCATGAAGTCTGGCTCTTCAAAGCTTCCCGAGGCTGGACACATCTCAAGCAGCACCTGCATTCACCACCAGACCAAATAAGCAACACCTCTGTCAGACAAGCAGCAAGGATGCAGCAACAGGAATGCCCCTGGGATGTCCCTGGCACTACTACAGCAGTGACATGTGGCACTGATGGCTTGGAAGGCCTTTTGGCGTGCCTCCTTCCAAGAGGCTGAAGGTAAGGCAACTCTCTGACACACCTCAGACCTAAATTAGCCATAGCCCCGCCACTAGGAACCTGGCAATGGGATAAAAACAATACCTGAAATGGGACATGAAGCACTGTAAATGACAGATTAGGGTTGTGAGGAAGGGGGAGAACCAGCAAAAGGGAAAGAAAGGACAGTGAGTGGGGAAAGTTTCCAAACAGGACAGTATCTTGTACTTTCTGATTAATATGGGCAGGAAATAGGGATTTTCATTAGCCCAGCCCAAGGACTTGCCCCATGGTCCATGCACAACTCGAAGGAGATGCATCTTTGCTCTGCACCCTTACTAGGTGTGAGTAGGTCTCAGGAACAGTAGGAGAATCTTCTCTTGCTTGTTCAGAGTTAATTAGCAGTGGCTGTGTCTGCAGAGAGAAGGGAGATTTCTCACTAATGACCTGGGATGAGTGATGGGGGAGTGGGTGTCATTGCTGAGTATGAGCTGGCCGCTCATTACAAGCATTATCTTCTCTTAGTTGCAGTGACTCACTCAGATCCTCCTCTGAGAAGGACTCACTTCACAGTGCTCAGGGTTTGGAAAATAAGCCAAAGAGAAAAAGCTTCGAAACCAAGGATTCAACATCAGAACTGCTGTCAGGATCCCCAGCCACCGACTGCTGGATCCACTGTCTGAAGGAAAGCCTGGCACAGGTAATTGCCTCCCATCCTACCCTTGTGGGCCTTTCTTAGCATCCCCAGGGCCCTCACATGAAATATTGAATAGCCCAGGTCTTGAGACCTCAGAGCCAGTGTTTTCAAAATCCTGGTTGCATGGGATTTCAACTTCTTGGTGTAGGAACCCAAACACCAGCCCCCGTGATTAAAGCTCTGGGGACAGTGCACACCATGCCTTTCTTTCTGCTGGACCACTGGCAGATGCTTAGATGCCGTTATGAGTGGGATCTCCAGAGTGCAAACTCCCAGTGGGCATAGCTGAATTTAACCCCATGTCCTGAGAAATCCCCTGTGTTCTCCACTTGAGATATCTAACTGGAGCTATTGCATTGTGTTTTCTTTAACAGAGATCCCTGCTGCCGTTGCTGCATTTCCTTCTCTGTGCCCAAGCGTTCTGCTTTCCCAGGGGAGAAGTGAGTGCTGCAGGACGACAGAGGGCAAATCACTCACCAAAGAGCCTCTCATGCAGCACAATGCAGTTCAAGGTGCTGAGAGCCAGAATGAAAGGGGGAAACCACTTCCGACAGGACAAAGAGAAGTCTGAGCTGATCCAGGTACTCCAGGCAAAGAAGAAAGCCTTAAGAATGAAAAGAGAAACCAAAAGGCAGAAGAACCAAGTCTCGGCTTTGTGGACAGCAAGGATGCTGGTCTTGTGCTGACTGTCTGTTGAGATGATACCATACCTCTGCAATTTGGGGCCACTGGGACTCACCTATAGACATCTTCACTTAGATTTTCAGCTAAAAGAAACTTTCCTGATTAACTTTGCCAAATGACTGACCCTACTTAGGCTACGAACCCTCCATGCTGTTAATGCTGTAACTCATTTTTCCTGAGTTGAGGGTAGCTTCATTTCATGCGGGTATTAGTTTCAAACCTCAAAGGGCTCTGGAGGTTCGGAGAAGCATCCTGCAGTTCCAGATGCTTGTCTGAACTGCTTGAGCCTGCACGACTGTCTTGCCAGAAATGATAGTCTTGTGGGACAGCAGGCGCTTCCTGGATCTGCATGGGCCAGAGTTACTGCAGGAACTGGGGTTCTTGTGCTGGCTTTGGCGTGACTGTTTCCATCCAGACCCAGGGAGTGCAAACAGTGTGCAAAAGGAAGAACTTGGATGAGTGGACAAGGCAGTTTTGGTTCATATCTCAGCTGAAGAGGTCCAGTTGGTTCCTCTCTCTTCCAGAGCCAACTGTCCTGGGTATGCATGTGCGCGTGTCAGTGCAGGTGTATGTGTGTTGAGCAATCAAATCCACCTCACTAAATTCTGTGGTGTTCTGTTACATTTGAACTAAGCCAATGGGACCTGATGTGCATTCCAACAATGCTCAGCAAAAATGTCCAGGACTAGAAAACTGGGTAAAACTATGTAAAGGCAGACTTGACAAGCATCCTCTCAAGGTCAAAATGATGTTTGAGGTGCTTAACTTCCACAACCCCTTACAAAGGACTTGGCAGCCTCAAATAGGCATTTTATTTTTCAATAGATTTTCCTGCCTTTTTAATGAATTATCCTGTCTGTGCTACTTGTTCATTTGGTCCTGAGGTTTATACATTTTCAGCTGGCTTTTTGGAGTGTACAGAACTGAATCTCCTGGACTGATTTTATTTCAATTACTGCTCCTGGCAGGTCGGAGCTTTACTTGTAGCACCCTGGTTTATATTGCCAGCCTCTCCAGGAAGGGCTGGTAGTTTATTTTCCTGGGGCAAAGGCACATGAATGAAGAAGTGTGTATGTGTTGTGTCTGTGCAATTTTAGTGGATTTCAACCACTGGGGTTTTTTCCTTTCTTTTCCTTAGGCAATTTTACATTTGACTCTGACAAAACTACTTTAGAGGTTTTATTTTTACTAGAGATATTATTAATTCAAGGAACCTTGTACAAAAGGCAAATGCATTGAATTGCTACAGGTTATAGGGGTTGAAGCCAAAAGGTCTTTGTAAGCCGACATAACTCGCCCTAGATCTGACCGTATCAGGCAGTTTATTCCTCATGTGTCATGTTGGAGTTACAAGATCACACCAAGCCACTAGAACCTGTCAATAGAATAGTGCTACGCTCTATTTGCTATTGTAGCAAAACCTTTTGTAGATTTATACAATAAATCTTTGACATATCTGCTTCAATTGCTTTGTGCCTTGCTTTCTGGTCTTTCTTCTTTGGGTTGTGGGAGACTCAAGTGTCTATTGCTCTCTGAAGAGTTGTTCTTGGGCTTATTTGACTTATGAAATCTTGCTTCTCAGCAAAAAATAGATGATTGATATACCATGCCTCTGAAGAAGAGGGTTTGGATATAGAAAATATGGAGATGTTTTAAGGGGGTTGTTTAGCATCTCAGATTGAGTCAAATGTAGCCCACAAGATTGAAAGAAACAGTGCTTTGTTGGACTGTGGATTGTGCAGAGCTCTTGTTGGGTACAGCTAAGAGAAACAGAGAGCAATCACATTCTCATCCATGCTTGAGAGATAATATTCATGGAAGAGCAGAGGCAAATCAGGGCAAGGTAAAAGAAACGCTAAGCCTTAATCAGCTCTATTTGATATACAGACACTTCAGAATTCAGAAGAGCAGCACTCAGCAGCATGGAAAGCTGGGAGCTACTATTAGGCTGGTGCTTTGCTACTTGATGCATTCCCATACAGCAGGGTTATTTCTTGGGTTAGTTACCTATAAAACACTCCTGGGTCATTGGGGCTGGCGACAGGGAACATAGCAGGGTGTTTTAAATTGAAATTGGCTGGGCTCAAAGATCTGGACCAAAAGACATTCAGTCTATGGGAATACAGGATTCTGCTCTGCCTCTACAGTTCTCTGCTCTTCTACAATGGTTTTGAACTCAGATGGATTTAGCTCCCATTCCCTGCTCTGTCCCTGGTCTCTCTCCAGCAAGGAGGGTTGTAGAACTATCAGTCCAGGATGTGACACAACTGGTAAGGTGAACTTGGGTTGGTCATCTGGAGAAATAAGTAGACTCTTCACAACAGGCACTAAATCTGCACTGACAAATGAACCTCCCAGATGACCTTTTTGAGCTCAGGTTGGGAAGGCAGAACATGGTCTAGTGGCCAAAGATGCCTAAGGGACAGCTGATAATTTTCTAATTTTCAGCTTTTTACAGCTCACTTAACCACAAAATCTTATCAAGAGTGATAAACTTTGAAGATGCAATTTGGGTCCATATCTAAGCTTTGTCTTTGTGCCCTTAACTACTGCCATCAGTTAAAAAGAGGTGAAAAATAAGCACTGAGGGGACAGACCAGCAACAGGGCTGTAGTCAGTGTCATCCCATTTTGGGACATTATAGAAGAAACTGCACAGGAGAGCAGGGTTAGACTTTGCATGCCCTACGAGCATGGCCAAAGGACTGAGTCTCAGCCAAGGACCAACCTGATACAGAATGAAAAGTAAAGCTGCTCAGCTGGAGGTGCTGAGCTCTTCCAGCAGAGGGGGGCAGAACTCCACTGAACACTGTGGGAATTCAAATTAAGAGGCTATAATGAGAAAAGTCTATCCTCATCATCTTCCATCCACTACTCAGTGGTACAAGATCAGTGGTTGCTTCAGTGGAGAAGGTCTGAGGGCAAGGAGAGAAGAGACAATGAGAGGTCAATGCTGAGACATGAGGAGGTCTGATGGCCAAGTTACAGTGGAATAAGATGGACAGGATGGGGATGCCCTTCTGAAGGAAGTGGGAAGGGTAATGAGGCTGGGAAATACCTCAGCTGTGACTGAGACAAACTTAGCGACTGTGGTGGATAAACTTAGAAGGTTTCCAGTTTTGTTCTAAAACCTTCCAGATTTGAATCTGGTAATTGTAATTTACCTTCTTTCTGACAGTTCTGGACGAAAGTTCATGGAGTCACTGGGTCTATACCTTCATTTAATGAAGAAAAGCCTTATTACTGCTCCTGGCTGTATCAGTAGGGAATAACTGTGGATAGATATAGCCCAGTGATGGACTAACTGGCTCAAACTAGTTGAAACACTTTCCAAAAGCAAAGTAGGAACCATCCTTGCGTTTTTCTTTACTGTGAGGGTGGTGAAGCACTAGTAAATGCCCCATCCCTGGCAGTATTCAAGGCCAGGTTGGACAGAAACTTGGGTGACATGGTCTAGTGTGAGGCATCCTGCCAATGGCAGGGGGTTGGAACTGGATGATCTTAAGGTCCTTTCCAAACCAAACCATTCTATGATCCTATGGTTCTATGATCCAAAATGCAGAGATATTCACAGGCATGAATAGAGGGGAAGGTCTGTAGGATCAAGAACTTGTAGAACTGAGAAAAGAATCATTAGTTCACTCTTAATTGATAATCTTTTCTTTTCCTTCTCTTTTTATCCTGACTACACTGAGGAGCTCCTTAATTTGCTTATTCAGGACAGCTAAAGGAACTGTTAATATGGACCTTCTTGAGTATTGCATTATAAATGATATACTTGTTCTCTTGTCTTCTTTTTCCCCCCCTTCTGTCTCCTTTTTTAATCAAAGTGATTGCACCGGTCAATCATGTAAATCACATTTATTGACTTTTTCAGGCAGGCATATGTTTGTGCACAGCCTAACTGCTCCCCTGGAGCCACTTCTTCCGCAAAGCAATGTGTAATTAGGGAGGCTGTGAAACTTTCCTTATTGACACAATCCTCTATAATGGCTCCACTTATCACGTCAATATGATGCTCGGTGAGCTCTGGGTTCTTGCTCTGATCATGTAGTAGGATGTTATCTTAGACCTGTTCTCGTTGATAGTAATTTGTACTTCCTACAAATCTCCTATGATATGCTAATATGTAACCATTTAACAATTCAAAGGAGTGTTGCTATGTGAAAAATCTGGATCAATTCAGCAAACAAGGCCAGAGGAGGCCAAGAGGATGAACAGGGGCTGGAGCAGCTCCTGTATGGAGCCAGGCTGAGAACACTGGGGCTGTTCAGCCTGGAGAAGAGAAGCTGCGTGGAGACCTCAAAGCAGCTTCCAGTGTCTGAAGGGGGCTGCAAGGATGCTGGAGAGGGACTCTTCATTAGGGACTGCAGTGATAGGACAAGGGGTGATGGGTTCAAACTGAAACAGGGGAAGTTCAGGTTGGATATAAGGAAGAAGTTCTTTACTGTGAGGGTGCTGAGGCACTGGCACAGGTTGCCCAGAGAAGCTGAGTGCTCCATCCCTGGCAGTGACCAAGGACCGGTTGGACAGAGCATTGGGTGACATGGTCTGGAGTGAGGCATCCATTTCCACGTCAGGGGGTTGGAACTGAATGATCTTCAGGTCAGTTCCAACCCAAACCATTCCATGATTCAATGAAACAGTTTTGGGTGACCAAAAATCGTAGCTTACTATTATCGAAGGGGTGGCCATTTTCATTGCTTTTAGGCTACGTTTAGGAGCCTTTAGGACTTAACTTTTTCTGAAAGTTAGTGTGGTCATGCAGTGTTAATATGCTTTACAGCCTTTTCCCCTTGCACGTTTATTAGCCTTCAACCTATTAACTTGTTAACAGGGACTCCCAAAGTCACTAAAAGCCTACTTTTTCTGATACGGAGTTACTGAACAGTTGCTGACAGTTGTTCCATTGCTTCCACATAGGCATAGACTGACTGTCCTCAGACAAAATTAGATAAAAGAACTGCAACACAAACCAGAAGTCCCTAGAAAATCAGATTTCATTTAGTCCTGAAGCTTACAGACCCACTTGCTGCCATAAAGTGTTTCTTCTTTTCTAAAGGAATAGAATCTTGACATTTTCAAAATGAACTTTTTTGACTTTTTGTTTCCATAAAGAATCACTTAGAAAGTGATTTCAATTTGGAAAAAAAAAAAAAAAAAACAGTACAAAAGAAAGAAGGAAAAAGAGAAAGGTTAGAAAACTCAAAATAGAAATGGAATGAAATGTTTTGGGACTCAAGAGGCATGTGCTCAGTTGGTGCAAGAAGGAATCTCTTTATTCATCTTCAATTTAACCAATTGAGATATCAGGAGAGTTTATCTTCTGGATTGACTTGCTCTGTTTTGGCATCTCCTGATTTGACTATTCAACTAAAGAAACTCTCCATTATTTCTCTTGTTGCAAGAGACACAGCTTCTATGCTATTCAGCTGCACATTTCAGTGACACAGGATTCTCTGTGTGTCATTGGAATGGTGCATTTCCTTACCCAAAATGAAATTAATTTCCCAACAGGGTCAAGGAACAATCCATCTTTGTAATCAGGATTATGGAGCCTATGTCACATACTGGAAATACTGCAAATACACTCACTGGAGGGCCCAAATTCCTTGCTAATTTTGACACCATCAGAAGTTAAACAAGGCTGTTACCTCAAGGGCTGTCCTCAGTTTAGGCAGGGATATCAGTGCAGTACTTAATATAGTCTACACTGATGTTCAGTTATAGCCTGCCTCAGGGTCCATCTGTGCCTGCTGCATCTCAAAGTAGAAACAAAGGGAGCAAGAACAATGGGAATTGCCAAGAGGCTCTGGATGACAAAGCTGAGAACATTGTGCTGTAGAGACAGATGCAGACTAACAGCAATTGGGATTTGTATTGCCATGTCCCACTGGCTCAGGATCTCAGCTCTGTCTTATCCACCCTGTGCACTCATGTAGCCACCCCTCCAGCTGGCTGTGTTGGGTCCTTGCATCACAACCATGGTTAAGGGCAAGATAACAACAGTGTAAAGAATCATAGAATGGTTTGGGTTTGAAGGAGCCTTAAGATCATTCAGTTCTAACACCCTGCCATGGGCAGGAGCACCTTCCACTAGACCAGACTGCTGCAAGCCTCATCCAACCTGGTCTTGAAGACGTCCAGGGAGGGGGAATCCACAGCTAAAAGGAACCTCAAAGAAGGTGGGCACAGTAGACACCAAGCAAAGCGCTTGAAATCAGCGTCCCAGCTAAAAACCCAGTTTCCAGACCCAGTCCTCACCTACCATGCTCTGCTAAGAAACCAGAGACTAATCCACCTCAAAGACTGCCCTGTGCCTAGGTAGCTTCGGGGGCTTGCATGGCTACTGTACCCCTATAATAATGGCCAAAGGTACCCAAAGGACTTGATAGATACTGACACATCTACATGACACAGTAGCTGGCTAAATTTTCCAACTGAATAATCCTCTTTCTGGGTAGAG